AACATAATTAATCAGTTAAGTTAACAGTCTGAGCATAGTCATTAGTAATTGTTTATTATATTTGAGTTTGATCAGGTCACGAGCATCAACACTACCTTTATTTTCACGGATCAGGTGGGGACTCAGACTAAGTACTACATTGATTATAATTACGGTACCATGTTTGAGGTATGTATTTCATGTCATGTATCCGCTCGGAATGGTCGCCGGTCCATTCTGAGTTCTAGTGGCCCTAGTCTGCCCACTAGAGTGTGCACATGGTGTCCGGCATTAGTTTGTGCTGGCAGATGAGGTAACGGTCATGGTTCACGTTCACGTGATGATATAAGGTTTATGTTCATGTTATTACCGGTTTCATGTTCAGGTTATGTATATGCCAAGATCATGATGTTGTTATTATTTTCAATGTTTACATTAGTATGAGTTTCCACGGAGCACAGTGTTATAGTGCTCACGACCCACTTCTTTCATGTTTTTCAGGTAAGGATGTCGGCTCGGGAGCGTGAGATGACGGATGCTTCAGGATTTTTATGTTATGACTGTATATATTTTGACGATATCACGTTTCCGCTGATTATGATTTTGACGAACTTATCGTTTGATCGAACTTTCAGATAATTAATGTTTTCAGTAAATCATAAATTTTTGTTACAAATTTAAGATAACGGTTATTCAGAATAAGTCACGTTTTAAGGTAGCACCCCGAATCAGTTTTCGCAAAGTAAAAGATTTTAATTTTAAATAACTTTGCGAAATTTACACACTCTGATTTCACGATAAGGCGGGGTGTTACAATTGGTATCAGAGCATGTTTCTGCGTCTCTGAAAAGTTTTTCAGTCAGTAATTTTCAAAAAAACCTGAACCGTCATGCTCACGCCTCGCTGACTACAGGTAAGCGCTGATTTATGTTTTCAGTTATAAACATATTAACCTTGCCTATGCTCAGAAATTATGGATCAGGACTTAGTTAAGATACTCTAATCAGGATCAGACTTTAGAATTCAGATATGACTCTAGAATTTTGTATCTTCTGATATGACTCTAGAGTTCCTCAGGATTCATGTCAGTATTTATCGGCCATTTTTGGCAACTCGTCAAGAGATTTGTGTGCCTTAGTAATCAGTCAGAATATTATCACGTCTTCGATAATGTTGAACTTTCTCAATGTTCAGATGCCGCCCCGTAGGGAACCCGATCACCCGGCTCCTACTCAGGCCACAGTAGTCGCACAGTTCCGCGACTATCATGCTGAAAAATTCTCAGGGCAGGGAGATCCTCGTATCGTAGACGAATGGATTCAGGGCCTTGAGTTTATTTTTGAGGTCATGAATTGTCCTGATAGATATCGCGTAATCTGCGCTCAGCTTCAGCTCACCGGTGATGCTCGGCTCTGGTGGAACGCTTACTGGAGCATGCGTCCCGGCGAGAAGGCGGGATGTACATGGGAGATGCTCAAGGAGCTAATCCGCGAGAAGTATTACCCCATCTATTACCAAGCAGAGATGGAGCGTCCGTTTTTATCGCTCTAGTAGGGTACTCGTACTGTTGATGAGTACGAGAGAGAGTTTACTAGACTCGCAGCTTTCGTTCCGGACCTGGTTCGCACGGAGGCACAGAGAGCACAGCGCTTCATTGACGGGCTTTACCCAGCAGTCCGTCATAACATTGTAGGTCACGGGACTCAGACGTATGCTCGTGCAGTTTCTATTGCCCAGGAGGTGGACGCCAGCATTAGGAGGGAGGCTGTCCGTGATCGTTCTCAGCCATCAGCTCCAGTTCAGCCATTCACAGCTCCACCAGCCCTACCAGCTGCTCAGCCAACGAAGGAGAAGAAGAGGAAGGGGAAGGGTGCTCAGACCGACAGGAGGACCCGACAGAGACAGCAGCAGGTTCCACCGTGCCCGACTTGCGGACGAATTCACGTGGAGAGTGCCACATGGGCCAGGACATTTGCTACTACTGCCACGAGCCTGGACATTTTGTTAGCCGCTGTCCAAAGAGACTTCAACAGCAGCCCCAGCAGCCTCAGCAGCCACCACAGCAGCAACAGCCACGTCAGCAGGCACAGAGGCCGCCTCAGCAGCAGCAGCAGAGGGGCAGACAGCAGGCCCGAGTCTACGCGGTTGATCAGGCCGAGGCAGCACAGCAGCCAGGTGCTATGTCAGGGATGGTTATGTTTAATGATATTCCTGTTTTCGCTTTGTTCGACACTGGAGCAACGCATTCTTTCATTTCACGACGATGTCTTGATGCCATCGGAGTTCATGCCGTTACCGCTGTCGATCCTCTCGAGGTGAGTTTAGCCTCGGGACGAAAGATAGTGACCTCAGCTAAAGCTTCAGATCTTAGCCTTTCCATCGGTGGGCGTTCATTGTCTACCGACGCGTTTGTTCTCGAGATGAGGGACTTCGACCTCATTCTCGGAATGGATTGGCTATCCTTTTATCATGCAGATATCAGATGTCATGACCGGGAGATCACTCTTTATCTTCCGGGAGACGATTCGATCACCTTCTTTGGCAGCAAGAATCGTTCATTACCTCATGTCGTTTCAATGGCGAAAGCTACCAAGTTGCTGCGACGAGGCAACTGCCAGGGTTATCTGGTGAGCCTTGTCGATGATTCTAAGAAAGCACGATCACCTCACGATGTCCCAGTTGTCCGTGAGTTTGTGGACGTGTTTCCAGACGAGGTTCCAAGAGGACTGCCTAACCGGCAGGTGGAATTCTCCATCGACCTCATTCCAGGGGCCGGTCCCGTATCCAAAGCCCCATACCGTATGGCGCCTAAGGAGTTGCAGGAGCTTAAGGCGCAGATTCAGGAGTTATTACGACTCGGTTTCATCCGACCGAGCGTGTCACCTTGGGGAGCACCCGTTCTCTTTGTCAAGAAGAAGGACAGATCCATGCGCATGTGTATCGACTACCGGGATCTGAACCGGTTAACGATCAAGAACAAGTATCCGCTTCCCATGATCGACGACTTATTTGATCAGTTGAGGGGAGCTTTTGTATTTTCAAAGATTGATTTACGATCAGGCTACCACCAGCTAAAAATTAAGGAGTCAGATATCGCCAAGACCACTTTCAGGACTCGTTACGGCCATTACGAGTTCGTCGTCATGCCATTCGGCCTCAGCAATGCTCCAGTGGTTTTCATGGACCTGATGAACCGTATTTTCCATCCCTACCTCGATCAGTTTGTTATTGTCTTTATTGACGATATCCTCATCTACTCGAAGAGCCAGAAGGAGCACGAGGAGCATCTGAGGGTGGTTCTTGAAACCCTCAGATGAGAAAGGTTGTTTGCAAAATTCTCCAAATGCGAGTTCTGGCTTCAGCGAGTATCTTTTCTGGGTCATGTGATTACTCAGGCAGGTATCGAGGTGGATCCTTCCAAGGTCTCAGCTATTCAGAACTGGTCGACACCGAGGAGTCTGTCCGAGGTTCACAGTTTTCTCGGTCTAGCTGGTTACTATCGCAGGTTTATCGAGGGCTTTTCCAAGATTGCCCTCCCTCTATCCCAGCTGACGAGAAAGTCTGTGAGGTTCGAGTGGACTGACCGATGTGAGTCGAGCTTTCAGGAGCTCAAGAGGAGATTAACTTCAGCACCGGTGTTGACTATTCCCGATCCTTCTTGGAGTTTCAACATCTTCAGTGATGCTTCGAGACAGGGCTTGGGATGTGTCCTTATGCAGGATGGCCAGGTCGTCGCGTATGCTTCATGTCAGCTTAAGCCGCACGAACAGGACTATCCGACGCACGACTTTGAGTTAGCCGCCGTTGTGCATGCTCTCAAGATCTGGCGACATTATCTTTACAGCGGACGTTGCG